AGTCTTAGACAATGTGCCTCCAAGAGCATCCTTGCCTACCATAAGCTAACCTTCAGACTCAGAAATACAGAGCTGTTTCTGACTCACACCAGTAAGCCAGAAGCTGACTGCCCATAGCAAGGGGTTTTTATTTCAGTCACTTTTCAGCTGTTTTCAATAATTTTATTTTACTTTTAATCCTCACCAACTGTGCCCCAGAAGCCCTGACTCAGCTATTTGAGATACTTTTTCTCTCTAGGGCAATTTTCTCATCCTTCTTAAGCGGAAAAACTGCTTGAAGCTTTTAGTGAGAAAAGAAGTTTTCCAGTCCATCTTGAATGGTATTCACTTGTAATCCAATAGATATTAAGTAATATTTTGAGGGCTATTTAGTTATTTTTCATTTCTACTTCATTTTCTTATTTGCATGTGTGGAAATACATATGGTTACTTAAAAATAAACAACAATTTTGCCTGCTTTGATATCTTATGCAGCACCAGTTATCTTACAGACCTAAGACTAAGAACTGCCTATCATATGTTGTGCACATTCAGGCATAGGCACACTTTGAATATTGTGCCCTACAGAGGCCAGTGTTGATGCCTACTCCTGAGGTGACTGAGGCATCTGGCCCAGGTGAGGCAATTTTAAATTCCTCTAGGATTTCCATCTAGGAGAATTGCCAGGACGTGTCAATAGATGGTGTTGAAATGGCCCTTTCTACCGACCAGGTGCAAAATCTGTTCTCAGCACTGTGATGTTCTCCATTAACCATATTTTGCTTCACTGAAGATGCTGTATGTATGGATGCTGTAGGAATTATGCCATCCACTCTCCCTTGTCAATTTTTAAAAGGTTGCTAAACCTTTTAAATGCTAAATTTAATAAGAAAACACTGAGTGTCGTAAAACTGATCTATCTGACATTTTGGCTTGAATCTATGACAGAACAAATGAAGGAGGAACCTCCGCTGATCTCCCTCTCCATGCTGCCCTGTGCCTGAGCCAGCCCAAAGCCCTGAGTCCTGATGTTTGAGCTCCCAGGAATCAGGGTGTCTTTGAGACCTGACAGCTCCACCATGCTGATGGGGCAAGTATGGGGACTGCCTCAGGAGAACATACCTGGCTGTTGCATCCTGCCACATCTGCCAGGTCTTCGCTGCCCTACAAATGCCCTAACACACCCAGGTGTTGTGTCTTGCACTTGTGGATCCTACAGCTGAGTGATGTCAGGAGATATCCATATCCATCACAGCACAGCTCATTGCAACAGTGGAAGACCACTTAACAATCAGAATCTCCAAATTTGCCAAGAACCAGACCTCTCATTCTCTGGAGGGGTTAGTGGTGACCGTGAATGACCCACACAAACTCTCTGACTATTTTTCAGTTACTAGTTTCAACAGTGTTGTTTTCCTAGCTGTAATATTTCAGCTTTTTAGCCACTGGTATATGGCTACTTTCTCACTTAGGTCAATCTTCCAGCTGCAGACAAATGTCCCAAATGTACCACATGAAGTGCTTGCACTCAACGCATCAGCACCCCTCCGTGTGTGTGCATACCCAAGGAGAGGTGGCCTGGCTGCTGTCCTGCTGAGGGAGAGAGGTGTCCTCTACCCCTCCCCAAGATGAACCACTGAGATGGGGTGCCCTGAACACTGAGTTTCTTTCTCTGAGCAACTTCAGTGAATGCTTTGAGCCCATCTTATTGAGGGCTTTTTTGAGATTGTGAATGCTTGGGTGGTGGTCTCCTACCTGTCTGAGAAGTGTGGACAGGAGGTGCTCCATCACATCCATGACCATGGGGTACCTAAAGAAGGACCGCCAGCTCCATGCATCTGGGCTTAGGATGCCTTACTAGGCTCACCAGGCATTTTGTTTTATTCCAAAGGAAGTAAAAGGTATTCCTTTCTCTGTGATTCAAGGCAGTGTTGAAATTGCTAATGATGAATACCAAGTGATCTCTGCCTGCTGAGATGTGCATGAAGTCATTTAACCATCAGGTCCAACCTGACAGTCAGCTCCAGTATCAATTACAACTCATCCCAATCCCAGAAGGTCTGGCCTGTTTTGGATCTCTGTTCTTCCAGCCCCATTCCTGCTCTGCCTATGATTCCTCAAGCCCCAGCATCCCAGGCTTGCCATGTGAGGGAGGAAGGGGACAAAATAAAATGTCATTCCCTGTCCTTACTTTTCCCAAGTGGGGTGAACCTCAGCTGGGGTGTTCAGCTGTTTCAGCAGCATTGGTATGTTTAAGGGGAGGGAAGAAGGGCTGTCACAGGTACAAAGGACTGTACCACCTGAGACACAATAAGTTGCTTGGGATTTTTCCTTCTCCTTTCTTCTTTCCTCTTTCCATACAGAAGTGCCAGCTCTGAGGGCAGTGAGGACATTCCCAGCCTGGCCAAAGGGAGCAACCAGGCTGAGCAGATTTCCCCAGGACATACTCTGACTCAGTTTCTTTCCACTTCCAGCATAAAAGCCCACAATTTGAGCCATTGTGCTGCCAATCTCTTCAGAAATGCTCCTTATGTTACACCTGTTCTCAAGCACAGGCCAAAGGATGCTCTGCACCTAGTGGGTAGGAGCAGCCATATGCTTCCCACTCTACTGGGGAGTATTTCAGACTGTTCCAGTACAATCTTTGAGGAAGACAGAGAAATTGCACTGATAGGTATTTTTAGGAATATATTTTCAAGTAATATAGCAGCTGGAAACAAGAAGGAAGAGTCAATACCATATGTTTGTACTACGCAGCAACAGCAGAGCCAGCCTTCAGCTGGCAACCATTTGAGACTCCGTGCCTGAGGCCATTGCATTAGTCAGCTCACACGTGCACCAATTTTCCTAATGTCAATTCTGGCCACATATTGCCTCACCAAGGGCAACATTTGGTCCATAAATTGTTTGCATGTCCTGTAATTTATGCATTTTGCATTGTGTAAAAAACCCCAGTCTACCATCTGTGATGTTGGTTGCAAAATATCTGCTCCTGTAATTACCCTGACTGTTTATGCTGTGGTAATGTGTCCTTAGATGTTGAGCCATGTAAAAATATTGATACACCCCAAAAGTGTAAATGGTAATTAGAGAATTTCATCAGGTGCTGAGTAAGACACAATGCTTGTGACACTTTAATTCTAGCCTTTGCTCTGCTTCTCTGTCTTGTTGAAACACTTGGATCCCAATTTTTTAGGGGAAACCTGCTTAGGAACAGCTCCATGAAAATCAGTGTAACTGCTATCCAATAGGCAAAGTGAACACTCAGTTCTCTCATGGGGATTACGTGTTTTCTTTGCAGCAGAATTGTCAAAAAGATAGTAAGATCTACAGATTGTTCGCTGTAAAAGTATCATGAGTGGGTTTACACATACAGTCTCATGCCTCTGGCATGTGGCAACACCAGGAGTGCCCATTAGATAGTGAAAAAACATCCAAATACAGATAAAGCATTTGCATGGAAGCACAGCCCATTGAGATTATGCAACTGAAACACGGCCTGGCATTCCCTGGTATGTGAGTGGTATCCTCCCTTATGCAGCTCTTGAAATAGTGGAATTTGTCTCTGCGCTGCTCACTATTTTTAACAGACCTGAGTAGATGCTGTGCTATTGTGTGTTGGTTCAGCTGTTGCCAATGGTACCACACCAGCCTGCACCCTGAAATAATTCGCTGTAAATCAGAGAATAGTCTTTCTCAATGGCACAGCCAGCGGATGTCCTAAGGACCTGGCTGGGTGCCCACCACTGTATGGTGAGATAAAGAAAGAGACAATGAAGCATTTAACCAGCATTGCTGACTAGCAAGAACACTTCAGTGGTAGGCCTGGTGCAGCTCAATGCAGTCTTATCAAGAGTTTGAAACTAGGGAAGTAAATGTGGCACAGCAGAGGATAAAAAAGCACAGGAGCACCAGCAGGGGCTGTGGACAACATGGTTAAGTTTGCAAGCAGAAGGGAAGAACAGTGCGGAGAACAGAGTGGAGAACAGTCCCATGAGCAACTACGCAATCAGCTGAAGCATTGTTTGAACATTTTGAAGGCTTCTGATGAGTACAGCGCTCCATGACTTGACTGCTGTTGGTTAAATAGTGACAGGCGTTGCTGAACTTTGCCCCAGGTAGCTCTGCAAAGGGTTTGGAAATGGAAAGGTGGGTGACACAACCTGTGCGTGTTTCCTGGGTGCGCTTTGATTCCCAACAGACAGTGAGTCATGGAGGGTGATAAATTACAGTATTTCTGCATGGGTGTAAGAAGCTGTAAGTTTTAAATCACGGGCCTAGGGTGCTTACTGCTTACTGCATTTTCAAAAGAAGACAGTTTACACCATAGTGCATAAATATTGGTGTTACAAGAAATACTTCTGCTACCTTCATTTCACTAAAGCATGGTATAATTGGGAATGAGAGCTGGTTTGGGGGATTGTTCCTCAGCTACCATTTAGCTCATAGTTAGGAAGTCTAATGTCATTTTTAATAATCTCTAAAGCATTTAAGGAGTACTTTTTATTTCTCTCTGTCTGCTTAATTTTAAGCTCCATAGGTCATGTGTGAGACTAAAAAAAAGAGTAAGATAGATATTTTTTTCCCAGTTATAAGTCAGACATCACAGGCTATAAGGAGCATTTTGGAAACACTCTGTTTGCCAGAGAAAACAGGGAGAACCTGAGTTTAGTGCAGTGATAGAGATCATTTGTTATAACTCATCATGCACCCTGTTACCATAATAGCACTGGCTTTGCTCTCCCATGCTTGCCTTCACTGAGGACAGTCTGCAGCAACCTGCCAGAAAATATCTTGACACACACAATTGCACTGAGCAATTCTGTTTATTTTTCTTCATATGAAAATCTCTCATTCATATGAAAATATTGGACACACAGGAGCTTTTCTTTAGTGCTTGATGATAACCTCATTTCTTGCACATTGCATCAGCTCAGGCTAGAACTTGCCTGCATACTTATTTTTCTGTAGGCTTCCATGATATGTATATAAACAGATATTATGAAAAGATCTTATTTTTCTTAAAACTTCTCTTTATTTTTACATTCAATGAGGACAGACAAGATGAATATTCATGACAAAGTATAAAGTCATATCCTGTCCTCAAAACAAATAAAAGATAGTGTTTAAGAGTTTAAAAAAGTATTTTAGAAACATTGTATTTCCAAAATTTCTCATTACAGAAAATTCACATCTTTTAGAAAAGTAGAGTTCAATATCCTTGTGTGTTAAGCCATATTATGAAAGTATGTAGTTTTTTTACACCTTTACTTTAAGAAATCTGTCTCTGCATTGCTAACAATCTTTAAGTAACCTGCTGATGGAGCCAACAGCCTCCATAATATGCAGTATACACAGTTACAAACGATTTGAAAAGTTATATTACAAAATATACAGTAGTTCCTTTTTACATTTTTATAGATAAACATTGCATAGTTTTCAAATACGTAATATATAACACAATCATGAGCCTTTTTCTCTATAACTTATGAAAAATTCTGTACACTCCAACAATTATAAATAAAGTGTAAATATCTTTTAGTAAGAGTAAGGGGGGAAATATACCAAGACATATTGTGCTGTCAAGTGAAAAACAGAAATATTTGTTGGAATCTGCTTAACACAATGGAACAACATGGCTTGGAGCAAGAAGAGATCATAGGGGAAACGTTACAATGAGGAACCATAAAGTACTGATATGTCTGACAATTATTATCCCGATTCTTTTGTAAGAATCACTTTCTCACAGTTATTATCACTGTTCTTGATGGCTATGCTTCAAGATGCAAAATAAGGTGCATGGTGTTTAAGAAATGAGTAAAAGTAGACTAAAATGTTTCCTCTTTCAATGGGTGGTCAATGGAAACTTGAGATAACTTGGAAAGAATTCTGAGTATTTTTCTCATGTTTTTCCCAAAGAAACAAGGCATAGGAAATGCACACAGGGATTTAAAGAAACAGACTCTAAAAGCATCCAGAATTGTGAGAATAAAATGAAGAAGAATTATTGAAAATATCAAAATTCAACTTTAAAAATAAGATGTTGACAAAATTCTTTTCAACTCCATGAAGAACAAGGAAAATAACTTTTGAAAGAATAGTTTGACATAGCTCTGCTGTTTGCTACTACACTCCAAAAGAGCAGAACTATACCAAAAGTATATATTTTTAAAATTCACTCAGATTCTAAGCGTTTTGTCACTGGTTCACAATTACAGAAACAGTTGGAATCTCAATGTGGATGCAGTTTGCAAACACATTTTCAGCAACATAGTTTGCCAGTTTGAATGTCAGTTTAAAAAAGTAAATGAAAACAATTTTCACTTCTAAAATGTATGTATTTACCTAATAGCCAAATTAAACCTACTGAATTCCAAGCTCTGCAGAAAACAGCCATTCTGAAATAAATGTATTCTAGCAGCACTGAGTGGCTACATCACACTAAGGGTCTTCTCAGTGTTTCCATTACAGATTTAAATTAAAACTCAGCCACTTAAACTGGCTCTAAATGACTCTTGGCCTACACTGAATCACCTATTTGTTCTAACATTACTGATTGGACTTCAGGTATTACCCCATACTCACTAATATCTGAGCAATTGAAGGCCAGTAGAAGTACTCAGTGCATCTTTGAAATGCTCTTTTCCTGACATTGAAATTATGCCTTGTCAGCCCATGATTCAGAACAACCTCCCAAGCATTACTAAAACATCAGTAATGGTAAAATTTGAGCATAAGCAGCTTCCCACCAAGTATTACTCTACCTATGGATTTGCTACACATGATAGTGACTAGATTAGTTATGGATTTTATGTGGGATTTGTATTGCTACATACAACTGCCAGTAAAATTCACATTATTTCCAAGGAGGGTGGTTCAGAGCACAAAGGGATGGTGAACACCCCTTTCTCTCCAGTAAACATTACCATATGTCCCGTGCTAGCCATAATCTGCTGTACAGGTTCCCTCTTTTGTAGCTCTAAAGCCAGTCTTCACCACTACTCTGAAAACTCATTTTGTGGCTCAGGCCACAGCTGAACACAGATCTGTCATCAGCCCAGACTGGGGCAGCTGTCTCCTCCCCTACACTGGTCACTTGTCCTTCCTTCTGCACCATTCCTCTGGTTGTGGAATTACATGGTGAACAGGATTGAAGAGGACCATCTAGAGGGAGGAATGGCAACACAACCACATCCTGAGTCAATCAAGACCTTTGGTAGCCACTCGATGCCTCTAAACACAGTACAGAGGGAGCAGCAATTACTTTCATGACCTTTAGCTTGAGATAACAAAAGATTATCACTTCTGTTCCCAGTGTTAAAGGAGACATAGAGGGCTTCAAATGGGCTTATGTACACCCTTACGCCAGAGCAGGATTCCAAGAGCTTCTGAAGGATATCCCAGCATTTCATTTTCCTTCAGGCATATAGAATAGATTTTGTCCACTCTAGGAAAACTGTTTTCCATTTTGACCACTGCAAATAGACCAATGAAAACATTAGGATTCCCCTTTTTATCTTTTTTTCCTTTTTTTTTTTTAATTTCCAGAGCTTTTTAGGTATTATAAAATAACTTCTGCTGAATAAGTCGGTAGATTAGATAGGCTGTTCTACAAGTGCATTGTTTGTTTGTTTTTTAAGTTTGAATTGATTACCACTCCTTTCATCTCTCTCTTCATGGGACTACAGCAGGATTTCTTTTGTTTGCTACTGATAGCACTGGAGGAAGGTACCTCATAGTAGATCCTCTGTGAGCAAATCTGTCATTAGCTTTGCAACCGAGCACAGATTTTCTAGGGACTCTGTCAAGCTTGTTTGACTCCATTCCTTGATGAGTGATGTATCACTGGTTTCAGAAACCTAACAAAATGTTCACTCTGTCCTCAGTGCACAGTCCAAGGTATTTTTGAAGAGCCTGACTGTCCTATGCTGTATTTCTGCTAATATGGGTTGATCCACTACTATAAGGCTGTGTTGTTTGTGACTGTTTTGTCAACAGAAGCTGCAGCTGGTGCTCTTCTTCCACCTCTTTCTTCATCAGCCATTGCTATGGTGTTTTCATAAACCTCTGTAGTTTTTAGTTGCTTGTCTTTGGCACCTTCCTGTTCAGCATTGACTTTGCAACACTTGCAGAAGCCACAGCAGTGTTTCCCACAAAAGGCGATTGAAGCCATAATTATGTTGTCCCAGGGCTCTAGGGAGTGCATCCAGATGGGTAGGAAATCCCAGTTTTGGAGCTTTTCAGGCAGCGAATGTGGTCGCCTTTTCTGCATAACATTAATTACAACCACAGCAATAAAAAGAGCGAATAGGGGAAGGCAAACACCCAAAAGGACTGGCCACCCTGCCAGTGACAGACCAAATACAAACAAAGGCAAAAGAAAGAAGCAGACTAGAAGATAAAATATAGCAAACCATCTGTACTGGGCTGTTGTATTTCCCAAGGTCTTGGCCATGCGTATTGGCAGCCGGGTATAAGGTATTGGGTAAAACAGAATAATCCCAGAGACGTTGAAGAAAAAGTGGCACAGGGCAATCTGAAAGCAAAAACATTTGAGAAGTTCATTAGCCAAAAGGCTTTTAAAATGCTCCTACTGACATTTTAATAACTTCCGGCGGCACTCAGACTCCATAGTTTCCCTTTCCTTACTCCCTACTGTTGTTTCTTGTCTTTCATGCTATTTCACTGCAGGGCCTTTCCTAGCACAAAACAAGGACTCAGTTATGCCTCACACATTGCAAAGATCACTGCCTACAAACACAAGCCAAGCCTAGAGCGGATGTCGGATCCCCCTGCAGATGGAGAAGTCTTAAAATGCAGCTTCCAAGTGCAAGAAATGGAGTCCATCAGAAACAAAGCTGAAACACCAAACAGGTCTCAGCAAACAGTTCTGTTGTTAGTAAGGCATAGGAACTATGTGAGAATTGTTCATTGTTGGGTTCTGCATCCATAATTTTTAGTGAAAATATGGGAAGTGTAAATTAGATATTACACAGAGGCTATTTAAAATTTTTAATGATACAGACCTGGATTTTACAAAAATTAGCTATAAGTTTATAGGGCACTGAGGAGGTTCCTGGAATAGGACTTTGTCTGGGTCATTATAATCATTCGATTCACATATTTCAATTTTTTTTAAAAAAAATAAGCATCAAGAGACATCCTCTCGCTAAAGCTTTCAGAAATTGCTTAGACAGAATAAGCATATACTGAACAAAACAGTACATTCCTTTCTCACCTTATCTTCATTCTATAACTGTTATCAGACCAAAGTAAATATGAAAGTACAGAAGTTTATTTTTAAAGTGCATTATAAAACCAGCATGTTATCATGAAATCTGAGCTTTATCAAGATAGCATCTTCTCATGATTACATCTGTTCTATCATGCCTGAGGACAATAAAATGGCTTCACTAATTTTCTTGATTTATTTGGGCTCATAAAAAACATTTGTCTTATTCACAAAGGAAACGTCATTATCTTTTCCCTCTTTGATGTAGAATGTTAATTCAAATGTGATCTGCTGCCAGGTTCTTTACCAGGTGGAAAATGGAAGGCCAAAGCCAAGCTGCCTATTTTCAAACAGTTTGAGGCAACAAGAAATTCAATAAAATCCACTGAGATTACATTTACAATGAGAAAAATACATGATGCTCACTGCAACCTTGGACAGACAGAGAGCTTGCCAGCTTAAGGGTTGTGCAGCCTTCAGTTAGGTTACAGGAGTCCCTGTACACTGCATGAACTGAGTCAGGGTCCTGAGAAGAGAGCTTACAGAAATCAGTAACCCTAAGAAGGTTGTCAGATACATGGGCACTGAATTCCAAGCTGCAGAGAACCCACGCTCAGGGGTCAAGTGGCCCACCCTGTCTCAGTTCTGAATTAATTCACTCAGATCAAGCCAATTCATGAAAGCAAGATTTAACTGTATACTGACATTCTGGGAATGTTTAACAACCTTTTTGCTTTAGCAGTTGAAATGAATGAGCTGTCAATAACAGTACACACAAAATCAGGCATGACATCCATGGCATAATTGCATCAGATCAAATTTTGCCAGGTTTTTCTTCAGAAAGGTTGCAACTTCTAAATGAAGTCAAGGAAGCATTGGTTTATACTGACCTGTAGTGAATATTTTAATGTGCTCCCTGGACTTGCTAAAGCCGCAAGTATAGCTGTCGTGGTTGTGCCAATGTTAGCTCCTAAGGTAAGGGGATAAGAGCGCTCAATGCTTATAACGCCAATGCCTGTGAGAAAAGAAGTAGGATTGAGTTGGCTTCAGGACAACGGAGAAGACAAAACATGGGGATATAGAACACAGTATTGACAACTTACCAACAAGGGGTGTAATAGCAGATGTGAAAACAGAACTACTTTGGACAACGAAGGTCATACCAGCCCCTGCAAGCATAGCCAGGTATCCAGCTAACCAAGTAAAAGGAAATGGGAAATCTAAAAGAATAGAGGGAGAACACTGTTGTTAGCATAACGGAATGCTCTGTGTAACAGTAACACACCAGTGAAGACTATTAAGCACTCAAAATATAGATATATTTTTTGCCTATTTTCTCTTAAATGACAATTTGGGGTCAGAGTCAGTCCTACTACTCTGATTTATTCTGTTAGCTGCACTCCTTCTCCAGCCTTCCACCACTGGATGCACTTTGAGATGTGTACTAGACTAGGCAGACATTTGTCCTAACCAAGGGTAGCATATATGTTGTAATGCAATTAGGTATCAGAAATGTTTTTGCAGAGGTCAACACAAAATCCTCTAAGTGTCTTGAGAGTCTTGGTTTCAGCAACCAGGCACCTGCTGCATGAATCAGATCTTCAGAAAGCTCTGAGGAGCATCCTTAGAAAATCAGGTGGTTTGTTCTAACTAGTTTCAAGCAGATCATCTCCGAAAAATTTACTTGTTAACTCTTGCAAAGAAAACTAAAAACGCTGATTAGAAAAACTAGGCACAATGGTCCCCTGCAGTCTGCAGATGTATGAGTGAGCTGAGAAGTGAGAACTTAATCAGTTGGGAAGGCACAGAGGAACACCGAGCAGCTCAGAAATGAAATAAATGGTAACTGGCAGCTGTTTACTTTCTCCCCCTTGTTTTTAATTCAGACCATATTCTTTGTCAAGGAGAATAGAAGAGAGCTTGGGGACCACTTTGTTGCCTTCCCCATTTCTGTGAACCTTCTCCTCAGCCATAGCCTGGGATCCATTCCAGGACTTCTTTTCTCTGCTACAGGTTCTAATCTCTGCATTCAAGAGAGTATGCAGGAAAAGCAGCCAAGCGAAAAAACCTCCAACATTTGCACTCAGTGGATCCAAGCAGAAAAAAAACCTGGAGAGCACAGGGCAAGACAGAAAATACCACTATTGAAAGCTGCCTTATCCTACTGAAGAGAGGGTTAGGCAGTGGAACAGGACAAGATCATTAATTACTACAAACTTTTGTCAACTTGCTTTGGAAAGAACATGGAGGCTCTGTGCCAGAACTGGCAATCACAGTCAGCACTTCAGTGCTATCTTTTGAGGATGGGAACATTACATTTCTAACAGCTAATGATTATACATCAAGAAACCGAGCCTGGACTTTGGTCTCTGATGCTGTTAATCTGCTGCATTTCTCAATCAAGCCATTCACTATTACATTTTTAAAAGAAAGAAAAAAATATGCTTGGGAGAAAAAATGTTGGGGGAGGTGGGGGAGATTTTCATTCAATACTATTTTCTTTAAACTATTTTATGCTATCTGCCAGAATGGGAAATATCAATAAATGTGTTCAGTGTCCTTTTCATTCCTGAAAAAAATCCTCAGGAAAAGCAGATAATTACCAGTGTTGATTGTCTTCTTGATAACACTCGCCACTTGTCCTTTAAGCACAGAGTTTAATAGCTTAACGATCATTATCAAACAGGAGCACAGAACAAGCAGGGACAAAGCCAGAAGGATAAGACCGATGGCAAGATCAGGCAGGTCTGAGTTTACAAAGAGATGTTGGCCTGAAAAAGAAATGGAAATTTAATTAGCCTAGCCACATTTTTGCTTGTGATCCTAACTAAGCCCAGCCCTGGTTTTCATACATATCCCTTAGAAAATGGGACCAAAACACACACAGCTTGAGAGGTTGATGCAAAGAGGGAAAATGCCACCTCCCTTGCTCCACAAAAGCCATGTCTGAGTGGGGTGGGAGAAGCTCTTGTATGGACATGCTTATAAAACACACAGCAGGCACCCCGACAGGGCAGGCAGGAGCTGAGTGACCAAGTACAATGGCAGGAGGAAGTTTTGAGGTGCTCCAAGCTTGATGGTGAGTCAGGTTTTCCCAGAGGTGGCTGCATGCCTGAGAAGGGCCATTGAAACTCCTGCAGGGCATGCATAGGGATGGAGATATCCAAGAAACCATTACAGCAAAGTAACCATAGCTCCAAGCCATCTGAACAGCGAGGGTGACATGATACTGAAGACCTCAATTACTGATATCAGGAAGCATGGAAAGAGATCCATCTGCAGCCAGATACCGTGATGATGCCGGTAACTCCAGCTGCTGTAACAGAGCACAGGCTCCTCGGACAACACCTGCACCAGTACCATGCGTCCGTACGCAGGCAAGGGCTTCCTGATACACCTCTGAAGTGGTCTGTTAACACCATCAAAAAGCTATATACATATGTAAAGATATTACCATAGAAGAAAGAATTCTACTACTTACATTTAGTGATATAGTTTGTTTCTGTTACATTCTTGAGAGTCCATGTCATGTTTCTGTCAGTCCAGCAAAAGTCAGGAGATGTGCAGTTTTCTGGAAATGGAACTGTGACATTCTGCAGTGTCTAAAGATTGCCAGACAGAGTAGATAGTTCAGTCATTTACAACCCTTTATTTAGAGCTCATATAAAGTGTTAGATTTTTACTACAACCAAGGATTCATCAACTAAGGGCAGATTTGTAAGCTGGCACCACATTAATGTCAAGGTGAAACTTTTGCATTCTTGAAATAAATCATTGTGCTGTTACCCAAGCCAATTAGTACAACATTTAAAGATTAAAATATCCCCAAAATCTTCTACATTGTAATAACCATAGCACCAAGTCATTAATAGTTAAGAACCTTAACTGCTGATGACAGTTAGTGGAGTGGGGTTCATATAAGGCTGCAGTTGCAAGACAGTGACATTCCTTTTCCAGGCAGCACCACAGCTTGCTTGGTCAAAGAAAGACCTCTTTACTGTCATCTCAACAGCAGTTAATGGTCTGGTGAGTACTACACCAGGGCTGTGATTCAGAATGCTACAATACTAGTACAGCCTTTTTTGTTGGATGAGCACAAGCTGCTCGCGCTGCCTTCCTGTGCCTCAGTTTCCCTGTCTGTAGAAACAGAAGTGCTGCTACTACTTTCCTTTTAATGTTCAAATGCTATCTAAGAGCTAATTACAAGAACTATGATTTGCATTATTATTATGGAGCTGAACCTAAATTTCTATTTATATCACATTAAAACCTTCCTTATAAGGACTCCTAGCCCAGACATACTACATTCTGACACCAAGTCCATAAGTTCTTATGCAGACTAAGGAAGAGTTCGTTGAGTGAGCTGTACTTCCACACGAGAGCAACTAACAGCCAAATGGACTCTGAACCATGCTGCTAAACAGCAGGTATCTTTCAAACGTGTTTGAGTGTTTTCTTTTGTAGAAATGGAGAACAAGAAATCATTGCTGGGTACTGCCTACAGACACCTGCATTCTCAACACCTTCCAGCTGATGCAGGTGGGCAAAGATGGGAGTGGATCTAGTGCCCCCGCACCAGGGCTCCAGCCTCCCCATCATGTCAGCCTTTACAAACACAGCACAATCTTTTTTCTCACCTTCCTGAATTTTTTTCAAACATCTGAGTTTCAAAGCAGCTGCATTGGATCAAAATGTTTATGTTTTGCTTTTAACATGTTTCCCCACCAAGTTCAAGTCAAACTGTTGTGGGGTTCATATGTTTTTGTAGTTTGACTTTATCCTTGAGCGGTAGGTACACAGCCAAAATATAGACAAACACAATACAAAACCATGTATATAGAAATAAATATTTCCTTCAGCCTACACTTTCCACATAGAGTAGTTTCTTGTCCTCTGTAGGACTTGGAGGCTCAGCACGGGCTGGGGTCTGACAGCAGGGCAGCTGCCCAAGCCCCCTGCCCCCCTGAGGTGAAACACCCACTCAGCAGTGTAACCTGAGCAGAGTTTCAGATGAGCACAGCTCTGCTCCTGGCACTATCTCCCTAGCTAGCATTTCACTGGCCATCCAGACTGTCATTCAATAGGAGCTGGCCACTTCATTTCAACCTCCACTCTGTGTCCTTAAGTATCTTCTGCCTCAGGACTTCAGGAATTACTTTTCTATACATGACAACAAGTACAATTAATAACTTTAATTAGAGAATCAAAGGATATTTTATGCTCTAATTACTAGTTAGCTGAACAATGCAAACCAAACACTCAGCTCCACAGTTTATCAAAATACTCATAGGTGTCAATCTGGGCAAGAGATTCCTCCAAGCTGCAGTGCTGTTTAGGTGAACAACAGGGCACAGCCCCACAGAGGCTTTCTCCAAGGGCAGTTTTCCAAGAAAGCTGCAAGTAACCAGCTACCACCAGATCACCCTAATATATGTAAAACTAAAACTTATTAGATCAGTAGATAAATGGTGTTCAAAAAGATCTTTTCTTTGGCCTATGTTGCAGATTTTTTCCACTTTCAGGGAGTCAGTAGTATTGCAGTTTAAAGACATTTGTGTGTATGAAAGAAATGAAAGACTTGGCTCCAAACCAGCAGTACTGATAAGTGAGGGCCTGTGTGGTACCAAAAGTAGCCGGGTCAAGGTCACCACTGGTGACCATCCTTTGTTTAAGTGGAGGAAAAACTACCTTAAATTGTTTTCATTCTTTTTCTGCTGAAAAAAACCCCATCATTTAAAAATCTAAGTTCACAGTATTACGATAAGGATTGTCAGCTACAGATCAGTAATACACTTCCTGAGGTACCTGACAATTAATTTAGCATAATACTCACCACATTGGTTTCAGTTACACACCAGACTTTGACCAGGCTTTTGTTTTTTGCTGATTCATCATTAGTAGCAATTGCATTTATTACTGATTTATCAAGCTTAAAAAAAAAAAAAAAAGAAGAAGAAAAAATTTAAAAATGCATTATTCCAACTTGCATCACAAACTTCTGTTCAGCTCTACTCAAACAACCCCCTTTGGAATCCCACCATGATAAACCTGCATGATCATCTCTAATGCTGGAGCTGCCCAACATGTAGGAGGGGGTTTACTCTGACAAAAAGGCACAACTCTACACGCACAAATACTGTGTCTCATTCTCCCCAAATCATCCACCACTTCATCTCTCCCTTTCTGTTTAATCAACTGCCTGATTGTATTTACTGCCATTTTAGAAGATGTGTTCTTTCCCCCTGGCCTCTAGATGCACGTGATTATGTCAGGTCCTACACTGATTTTCTGGCTGTGCCAGGTTGTCTCAGCTAGTACTGTCTGCCAATATCTAGGCAACAGGCTGCCTTCCCATCCATCTCACATGGCTGTATTTGTCCTCACCTGCCTTCTCCTTCCTCCTAGCTATGTCTGTCATCATTAAGGTGAAATGTGGGGGAAATAGAAACAGGAACTATAGAGCTGGGGTTTTATGAAATGTGAATAAAAAGGAGAATTCATCTGATAATGAGCTTTAAGCCAAGGACAGAGAAAAAGAAATGGGAACCCTTCTCATATTCAGAGCGTTTTGATTAGCTGTGACTGAACCAAGTAAGCAGCTTGCTTGAAGGGAGAAAGAGCTTACCTCAATGATGAGCTTTGTAAAGGGGTCTGTGATAACTTTTAGTAGCTCAGGGGCATCTTCACCACTTTCAAGATGAAAGGACTCAACTATAACATTGGTGAGATGGTAAAGATAGCCAGAAATAACTTCAATGGGCAACAGTGCAAACACAGCAAGCCAGTTAAAGAAATCATGGATTGTTGCCCCAGCAAAGGCCCTGCAAAAAGAAATTAAAAACCAGGATTGCTTTTAATTAGATAAAATATGTACAACATCAGTTAGATATGAAATCATAGTAGTGGGGATGAAGCCCATTTCAAGGTGGGAATCATTTCATTTCCAGGGTCACAGGAGATGGCTACTTGGATATGGAGCATTAAGTTGTCTCCAAGCTGTTGACCAATTGAAGACCCAGCCCGGTGAGTAAAACAAGAAAAACTAGAAAAGGCAAAAGAGATCCTTAACACAATGCTGTCAAGAGTACTTATCTGAAAAAAGAAGTGGCTGTAGAGCCTACATTTGTTTTGTCTCTCACCCATTTTTGGCACATTTTTATTCCTCAGCCAGTCATTTCCTCTGGGACCTGTTCTCCCTGACTCCTGGGGCAAGAGAGCTTTGCGGCCCTCTCATGTGTTCCTGCAAGCCATTGGTGTACAGCTCCCTTCCATCTTCTCCTCTAAAGCCTGAGGAGACACAGCTCTCCCCTCAGAGACTTTGGCAAAGAGTATTTCATATGTCCAGTATGCCACAGATGACAAGGTACCAAAGTCTCATATCCCTACCAAGTTTACTGCCCATCTCCAGCAAGCCAAAAGCTCTCTCAGTGGCAATGTCAAGTGGTGGTCTGAAAGCTGTCACTTTATGTGTTTGACAGCCAGAACACATAATTTCTCTGCAGTTACCAGATCTTGCTTACTGTAGACTTGAAAAACCTTCAATATCGAAATCTTGTTTAAGGAGACTAGACCAAAATAATGTAACATTAACTTCTTATACAGCCCTCCAATAACTAAGACATAATAAAAGGTGGGTGGTATAGTGGGAGCAGCTGAAAATTTATCCTTGTGTAAGATTATTAAAAATGGTGGATCCTTACAAACCCACAAAACTTTTACAGGAACCCAATATGCTTTTCTTCAAGTAATGAAGTCACATATATAGGCAGCATTGTACCTTTGCCATGGCCATGCTTGTGACTTTCCTAACTAGAAAGGTTGAATGGCTGTAGTAGTGATAGGGAAAATGGAAGAAAACCTACAAAGAAGGAAGAAACAACTTTTCAGGAGTAGTGTTTAAGTACAATACCTTCTAAATTCATTCCTGTCCCCAGCTTGCATGAGTGCCACAATTGTGTTTGTAACTGAGGTGCCAATGTTTGCTCCCATAATGATTGGAATAGCTGATCGAACAGTTAGCACTGGAAGCAGAAAAGGAAGCATTGAATGAGAAAATCAGATCATCAGCAAGCTGTATGCTTCAGTGAAGATTTCTATTAATGTCACTGATTCCGTGACTTCCCTTATTGTCACTGGGATTAGGTGCTGTGATCCAAATGTTTGCTTTAATCAAATGCCATGGGAACATGACACTCCTATAGTCCTGACTGAAACTGCAGCCCGTGGTTATCCCTTTTCACCACATATTAGAGGGCCAGAGTAAGATAAAGTCTCTTCTTTCCCAGGCATTTGCCTACTTACTGCAGAATTTAGAAATGATGCCACAGAAACAGATGAAGTTTAGTAACTGCCTAACATTAGAAAATTATGCAGATAATTTCAAAATTAGGGCATTCAGTGCCCAGGGGGTCCAATGATTTTCATGGCAGTTTTGGTCTTACTATTATTACTAGTACTACTAGTATTGCTACTACTATTAATACTATCATTATTAATTTTTAAAATTTTATTTTATATCAAGGCAACAGCTGTGAAAAGCTCTTCCTGCAGTCTCTATTCTTACACCCAAAGCTTCCACAACTTGAATGCGGGTGGGAATGTTTGCACCCCAGACAAGATTCCTGAGTGATCTGTAGGAAGATACTGTAAGGAGACTTACATGTGGAGGACACCATGCTGACTATGATGGATGAGGAAGTACTGGAGCTCTGGACCATAACAGTCACCAGAACTCCAATCACCAATCCCGCGACAGGATTAGACAGCACTGAATCATCTTTAAATATGTCCCCTGCTGCTTTACCTACAAAAAATATATTCTTGGAGTGAGGGAAGTGCAAGGTAAAGTCTACAGAAATTATCGGAGTGTTTAATTAAAGATCATTCAACCCGTTTGATTGATACATATATAGCCATGCTTGCTGGTCAAAAAAAGCACAAGGTGATGCAGCCCAAGGATCCAAATTTAGGTCCTGAACTCTCAGCTTCTCAGTTGTTAGAGAATACTTTATATTTTCTAATTTCAGTGACTAAACAAGCTTTACTGAACTCTGCAGAGAAGCATATAAAACCATTACCATCAGAGGAAAGACTGTAGCTCAAAAACCACATATGCATAGATTTAAATGCTATTACTTGGTATTTTTGATTACTGCTTCAAGGAAAACTCTTTTAATAATACTGATTAATTCTGTCCCTGTAGCTTTCTGTGTTTCCAAAAATCCAAAATATTTCCACAGAAACTCATATGATAACCACTCCTGAACCCCTCATCCGAATTCAACCCTTGAAGATTGGCAAATGCAAAAAATACATTACAATAGTTCTCATCTTTGATAGTTTTGGAGGATATTTCAGTGCTGGATGCTTTGGTCAAGAGCACAGTTTTTGTATTTCAACTTGTTGAAATGTCTTTCACATGTGACAGATTTATGCACAGATCTATCCATGTAAACTGTCAGTAAAGTAACAGGAAGCTACTAAGAAATCAGGGCCAATAACCGCTACATCAACAGCTCTTTGGAATTTGAGAAAGAAAGGCCCTTCCAAACAAATGAAGGTCAGTCTTCAGTCAGAGCTACTCCTCAATCTGTATCTCAACATATATGAAGAATGTTCTTGAAGAGTGAGAGTTGTAACTAAGTTGCTCAGATGAAATTTCCTGTCTTATTCAGTTTATTCTTAATATTTTAGACATTTTCATACCTCCTACCAGTTGGAAAGCAGAGCTCAGAACATCCAGAGAACACACAAACATGTAGAGTAATCCAAGTAGCATAATGAACTTCCCTATCCCGTAGAGTACACGAATGATTTTTCCTTTTCTATCCAATTCTGCAAAACAAATACATTATGCATAAAGGACTTGCTTGAAATGTTCTCTGGAACACTCTAGCACACAAGCAGAGACTATGGAGACAAAGACAGAGCTGTGACTTCAATGCATGATTAAATCCAAAAGAATGTTCTTAATCACATTTTAACTGCAGAAGCAGGTATTTTGTTTACTTAATTTTACCACCAGAAAATAAGTTTTTTGGTATGTGACAAAAGCCTCATAAAATTTGCGATTGACCCTTCATTTTATAGTCATCCTACCGAGTAAAGAAAGACCAACAAGAGCCTGGATATAAAACCATATTAGTGTTGGACTGTTTTCCATATATCTCTTTGTGTTTTCAGGAAGGTAAGCAGCATGATTTCCAGATCCTTCTTAACTGACTAAGTATAAGATCCCCATTAACTCTTGGAGAAGCCGAGAGAAGAAGTGGTGGGAAAAAAATGCAGGTGATTTATTTGTGGAGAAATGGCTACCTGACCACTTGACCCCAGTGTCCTGCAGTTCCGGCAGAGCCCATGGGTCCTCTTCCTCCGGCCTTGTCTCATCTATCAAGGCTATTGTGGAAAATGCAGGTTGAATTTCCCCTTTATTTCCAAGTGAAGCCACATTGCCTGCTGAAATAGAGCACGTAAAAAATTGTTTAATTACTTTCCATCCTCTCCAAAGATCCCCAAAACTTATATACCTCTATAACTCACTGGTGAGCACATGTTACCTTTGTGGTTTTCTCCTTCTTTCCCAGCCATGTTCTGGTTTTGTTTGGAAGAGTCCCCAATATAGTTATTGGTTTCAGGCTTTTCTACCTCAGGCCAGGGAGCCATGATCTGTGACTAATAAAGTAGTGTTGATTAAAATGCGTGTGCAGTCTATATTCAACTTTACAACAGGGTATGTGGGAGATATGATTAACATTAAGAACAAAGGAGATGGAAATGGAATATAAGCAATTTGCCTTTGAACGCAACTTTTTACTAATCTTTATGAATTATTCCTTAATTTCTGAAATTGATTTCTCAATTATTTTTTAAATCACTGTTTATTTTTTTGTGTACAAAACTAAAAAAATTCTTTCCATCTCACATCTGTATTTTCATACACTTTTAACTGTCATGAAAGCAAAGATTCCTCTGCTTTCCAAACAGTAGGCATTTCTTCTCTTAAATTAATTTCAGCTCCTTTCAGGAAGAAGTCAGAGAACTGTTTTACTTTCTTCTACCATCTAGATTTAAGAAACTGCCTTTACCAAACTGGTAATTCAATACATCGACCTTAGCAAAAAAGTTCTTCCCTAAACGCTGCTTAGTTTGGGTCATGTAAGATGAACACAATGTTCTTGTTGCCTTTACTGCTTCATTCCCATGGAAGCACAGAGAGGAGAACCCTGGACAAGGTGGAGGAAGAGCCCAGGGTTTCAAGCTCCAGAAGGATGCTTGCTGAATGCCTGGACAAGAGCACAGTTAGAGATCAGTGACCATTTGCAGGTCTATATTTGCCTGTAACTCACAGCTGATGCTGTAAATGAAGATGAGCTAGTGGAGCAAGGTCCATCTCACCCATATCGTGTAGGGTCTCCCCCTGAACCTCATCCTTCCTGACCCCTTTTGAACACATTTGACATGTACCGGAATATTAACAAATAATAACTTAAAAAATAAGACATCACATGGGCAAATCCTGCCAGCACCAGTTCAAGCAGCCGTAACAGACCCTAGCTCAGGCACAAGAGAAGGCAAAGCCTAGAAGAGTCCTACCTATTTACTTCACCCATGTTGGAAGCCAGAGGGAAGGACATGAAAGAGGGGGAAGGTGACCATGGAGAGACAAGTCAATATACACAACAATTCTATCTTTCTAGGCTTGTTGGTGAACTCAGTCAGCACATCCAAAACTCAGTGGAAAGGATGGGAGAAGTGAACCCTACCCAGGAAAGCCTCACCTTCAGATCTGTCTCTTCCACCTTCTCTGCCACACAAGTCAGTCAGTGCTGCTGGCAAAGCTGCCTCACAGCCACCACATCTGGCACACACGCGTCTGAAACACCGGTGAGCAAATTTGCTTCCTATGTTCCTCATAAACAAAGCCCCTGTGCCCAGCCTCCAAAACTCAGAGTTGGTATCATGCTCCCGTAAACAAGGTTCAGCTGCAAATAGCAGCCACTCTAAGGGAGTATAATTAATCATTCATTTAATCATAATCCTTTATGTAGCTGATGGTGAAAATGTTTTGTCCCTGCCCACATCAGTAAGCCACACATCCTCTTCCTTTACCTGGGAAAGAAAAGGTCACAGACAAAATCACTCATGTCTTACTGTAACAGAGGAGGGTATTGTTTGCTGGCACTCCACAAAGAAAAGAGTATCTCTCCTTCCACATTAGCAGGAAAAGTTATTCTACAATTCCATTACCAAAATCTATGCTTTTACACATTCTTTATCTGTGGTGTAAGAACTATAGCAGCTCCCAAGATACACAAAGATCTTAGAACAGATGAAAGTCACTCTTGCTTGTTTCAACAAGGGTTTCCATTTGCTTGAAGCAAATTCTCGCATTTTCACCCAGGTCAAAACAACCACCAACTCCACCCATGTCAGAACACCTCCGCCTTGTTAAACGAGTTTCATTTATACATGTTCAGCATTTAAAGAGCTATTAAAAAAATAACTGCTCTACACAAGTTCTTCTTGAGTGAAATGCAGTCATGAAAGTGCACTGGGAAGTCAGATGTGAAATTGTATTGACAATATATTCCAACCATGAAGACACAGAATATGCTGGACACTGCTATTCCTAGAGATGCCATCAGTACTTCTACAGTTCTTCTCTTACACTCAGTATGGAAGTGAAGGATTCAGCCTGCATGATTACTTAATGGAAACTGAACTGATGCATTCACTGAAGAAACAGGAGCTTGAAAACCACCAGATAAACAGCCTCGTGTCTCCTCAATAAACTCATTCAAGAATTCAGCAGAGAGTTTTTTCATAAGCATCTCCCATATTCCTGAGGTGCTCAGGATCCCACAGGTACGTCATGTATTATTATGGGGTTTGCTTTATGTGATTAAATGTCGTAGAATGAGAGTTGATCACCTCTGTGGAGGAAGTTTTTGTATAGGTATGTATGTAAAGTTATTCATATGAGCCCTAGTCAACCTCTGATTTGAGAAGGTAGATTTGAATACTGAAAGTCTTTACAGCATTTCCTCAAGCATTTGGATTTACAGAGGTTTAACTAGAACAGCCCATTCTGTGTGAGTGGTATCAAGGAGTGATGAAAGCAAAACCATCTAGATCCTTGAAGCACTACCAAAGCTGTCATCTTTTTCCAGATCCTGACTCTTGTTAAAAGGAACAGCTGAGAAGTTTAGAGACACCTGATACTATTTGCTGGAGTCCTGCTCACAGCTACTTGCTGTTAATTAACTGCTGTGCTACAAGGCTAATCTACATTCTACAGTTTTCCCTTCAAAGAATTCTTCCTTGGCCCAAATACAAGCATTAACGTCTTGAGAAAACACTCAGCAGAAGATGTGTGTGCTGCAGAGCAGTGGGGTGACAAAGCTGACTGCATTGCTCCCTGGCAGCTCACATGTGCCTTTGGAAAGGCTGACGTCAGGTGCTGGGTAAAAGACCAACATCCTTGATGCAAGATATAAATGACAATGAAAGCCCTATTAGTGGTTTACTTTTGGACACCAAAGACAACCATGCTGCAAAGGAACATGTTAGAGAATGGGCCGATGACAGCACACACTGAAAAAACTTGCTGCGTTCAGCTGGACGCACAGGTCCAGGTCCACAATTGCTGGATGAGGTGCTGGAGTGATGAGCTCTGCTCACCCCTGTGCCAGCCCAGGTGTCTCAGTGATGTGCATCTTGTTCCCTTCTTGGCTGGCAGGACACCAGCCAGGGTGCCTGCACCCAGGGTGAAGTCATGGAGCTCACATCCGGATTCACATCGGCACTTTGGATATCCTCCTGTTTGGAGCTGTGCTGAAATGGGAGCTAATTTCCTGCCGAAAGTGGCAGGTCACAATATGCTATGCATATTGCAAAGGTCTGAAAACTAATGCCTGCACAAACTGTAATCCAGTCCGTTTTGGTGAACCTTGTGGCAAATCCTCTCACACCATCATGTGTGCTTCTTTCGTTGTAAGTATAGTCTTTCCTTGTCTTTGGGAAATGCTAACTATGTGTGACATCCTTTCTAACTTCAAAAGAAACTGAACCTTCTCCCTCTTAAGAGGGAGATAGATGGAAATAACCAATGGCATTCAAATTTTAAAATAAACTGTGAGGGAGGAAAAACTCAGAGCCAAGTGGTCTCTGATGTTTTTTATACCCATACTGACTCTCTCACTGCAGCATTTCAAAGAGTTAAAGTCCCTGGGGAATTATCTGAGCAACACTAGGTGTCACACAGTTGCCCTATATTGCATTCCTCAGTGACTCACTGGGCTGTAACAGCTTTGCCTCTGTTGCAGGGCTGCACTCTTGGTGCTTTGCAGATTTAAATTAGAAACAGTTGTCGATGTATTTGTTTTGCTGGATTTACCACAGAGAAAATGAACTACCACTTGCATGTGCCCAGGTGGTATTGTTCGTACCTCTCCACCCATGACAGCTCATCGAAAGGCCACCTTGTGCCTGAAATAAGAGCTACGAATTAGTAAACCTTAAAGAAATCTCAATCCTGGGGAACAGACCCGGTCAAACCAACATGAAATAAAAAGTACTGAAGAAAATAGCAGTATTTTTTAAATTAACTGGTAATAACTGCAAGAACTGCCAACGTGACCATGCATACTGCTTAAGCTATCTACAGATTGCTTAAGCAGCTCAATGTAAGGTTGTGGGTTCAGCCAAGCTTTCTCCGTTTTCTCTCTCTCCCTCCCCCTCCTTCTCTCTCAGTTTTCTACAAAAATACATCACTTCCTTATCATTCACCATAGAGCTACAGTTTTTATGTTAAAAGGGATTTATCAGCTAATCTGATATCCGACTACATGACTTAGTAAATATGAATATTTACCATACATACTTCATAAGAGTAAATACCAAGCTACATGGCAACCTTTCTTGTATAAAGTTTGAAAAAATATTGTCTTTTTCCCCTCAAAATATGTAATTTCCAACATAGAAGCACATTATGTAGAGACAGAAAAAGAAAGATCCTTAGCCAGCACAAATTCATTCAATAGTTTTACATCAGCTGATAGTTTTGCCCCAGAACCTGTTCCATGGCAGCTGCAAAGCCCCAGGTGCAACAGAACCAGTAACAACTAAATAAACACCCTCAGTGATTCAACCTTACTAGGAGCAAGTCTTCTCTTTTCTCTGGCACCAGCCACTTCCCTGGGGCTTTTTCTTTGAATAAGTTAGCAGGCTTAACCAGGATGTAAACTTTCAACTCATGTAGTAGAAAAAGAAAAAAAAGATATTTGAAAACTACAAAAAAAGAGCATTGTATTCGCTGTTTATCCCTATGGATTCCTGAAATTCATTGCTCACAAGCCTGAATCTAACACACAGCAAAACTGAAAAAAATCACATGAAACAAAACAGCAAAGAGAACTAATTTCTAAGGAAGTGCAGAGAGAGAACAAATCCCAAATATTAATTTTTGAGTTCACAACTAAGAAAAGCACTGGAAACTACCACTGAGGAGCCAGAGCCAGAAAATATCAGTGAACTACTTGAAATGCCTACTAGGTGTTTAAATAAAACAATTGCTTTTTCAGAATAAAGCAACAAGGAAATTAAAAACCCCACCAACAAGGAAATAGAACAGATCTACCCCCTCCCAAAGACAAAACATGCAGTAAAGAATAGAGAGAGGAAAAAGTAATGACATTGAAAAGACTTACTGATCTAGTGGAAGAGCTGATAATAAAAGTTACTGAGAAACCAGCTGATTTCTGCCCACTGCCACATTAGTTGAGCAAACTACATTAGACTAATGTATTCCTTTTACCTCCGTGTATCAAACCAAATTAGCATAAGAAAATGTTTCCATCAAGAATAGCCTGACACGGCCGTGGTGAGGAACACAGACTTTACACAAGATCTATGCTAACACGCGAACTGACCGTATTCCCTTCCAATGTTTCATTAATACTATCCTACACATTTTCCAGTATCCAATACCACTGATTATTGTGACTTAAAATCTCACTTCTTTTCAACCCAAATAATAGTTAAAATAATACTTTCTTTTGCTACAGGCAGTTATTTCTGGCTGGGTTGTTTTTATTTTTTTTTTTTTGGGGGGGCAGCTGCTAACAAAATGCATTTTTTCTTTATCATATTCCATAAAAATAAACCTAGATGTTCACAGGAAAAAAAGCACAGTTTGTTTTCAGAACTACTTTTTTGTCACTTCCTTAAAACATAAATGCAGTTGAAAGAAAACAAGGTGAAAATGCTAACAAGTGGATGGCATTTCATATGCCACTAAAGTTCCCTGCGTTAGCTCTCTGTTGCCATTCCTTAAGTTGCAAAAGCAGAACTTCAGATTTGCAAGCTAAACAAGTTCAAAGAAGAAGAAAACTCAGTCTTAGTTGTTCTTACTTACCACGTCTTTATTCCCAGACAACAGAGTGAACGGATCAACTGGGCAGCCACTGAAACCTGCAATATATATAGACAGGTGTTGAGCAAAGTTTGCTTTCATCACTGCACACTAACATTCCTATTTTACAGTCCAGAGGCACTGCCTACCTGCAACTTAATGATCACAATAAAACTTTTTTTAGCAGGAGTGGGCAGCAACCAGGACTGATAAAACTACAGGCTATTTCACACTTATCACATTCTAAAAAATGTCCCATCAGCATTTAAGTACAAGTTACAAATGTATTCATGTGAGTGCTGGGGAACAGTTTGTTCCAGCATGAAAAATTGCTGTCCGCCTGATCATTCAGTAATCTTTTTTCCAATAATAATTTTCCAAAAATATTTTGCAATTTCAAAAGTCTGTCAAAAGGGTGTGAAGGAGATGTAGTACTGTTATTTGTCTGTTCAGGTGCCTATTAATCTGCCTTAGAACAGAAGTGAAGGAGAATCAGATAAAAAGCAGTGTAAGTAGGAAACACGTAAGAACTTCTTAGAACAGAGGATGGAGTTTCATTCTTATCGGTGCTCAATGTTTGCAATTAAGGTAAGCTCATTAGCATTTTGGCTGTGGCTCTCCTTCCAAATGAGATTTAAAGATGTAAGGACACTTTTGATTATCAAATTCAAAATGTCAGTGATGAAGACCACTGAATGATAAATAGATATGTTATTCAATAAATACGGTGTGGCATTATAGATTAGACAAAGCAGTCACCAGCACTGCTGTCTGTTCTACTGATGAGCTTAATGAGGAACTGGGGAGGGGGCTGCATTAGGCACTGTACTTAATTATTTTTTGATTTTTTTCTGTTTCAACTGGCAACTTATACTGATCAAATAAGCTGTAAACTATCTGTCTAATCAGCAGATCTGCTTTGTCTGCTTGTACGCAGTCATATCTCCCAGCAGCTTAGTGACTTAGTAACTCAGTAAAATAAAACTCTTGCTTTTGCACCTTTCAGTCCCGTGGAGACACCCAGCCTTTGGAGCAGTGAGTTAGAACTCACCCTTCTCCTGCGTCGGCATCAGAAATGTTTAATAAGCGGTGACCACGAAAGCTTCCACAGCCCCTCATGCAGCATCACATCCTGGCAAAGGAACCACCAAGCACCTCCTCTGTCTGCAGTGACTCTGCTGGTGTCGACCCCACTGCCCACACCATACTGGGCAGGGCTCATGTTGTAGCCCAAGGACGGAAGCACCAGCCCTTCCTCGTCCTCCCCACCTGCAGTTTGCACAGAGGTGGAAAGGATGGAAAGGAAACTGATTTTTCTTCTGTGCAAACTGGAGAACTGTCCAAAAGTGGAAATAAATAATAGAAAATGGACCCAAGGTCTACCTTGGTGGTTCACAAGGGAAGTTTTCTTAACAGAACTGTACTTTAACATTGCACCTAAAAATAGTAGGTTTTAATTGATGCCCTGCATGTCGGAAATCAGGTGGATCTTTTAACTGGGAATCCTTGTATTTCTCTGAGCTGCGGCTTATTCTCTACTGAGTCTCTGTGAAACCCAGCTCTGACAATGGGAAGGTATGAGATGTGTACATTTCAAGTACCCCATCATGGCTCAACCAAAGCATGATGACGTCTTCCACAGCATTTTTATTCCAACACTGCTCATTCCATTTGCTAAGCACAATCCTATGCAATGACCAAGTAAACATGTTAGAAAGGGAACAATTCTATATCAGACCCATTGTACTCCCAAAAAGAGCTTTAGGAAAATAAAACCAGTCACTTATACAAAGGCAGTCTGTCTTTGGAAGTTCAGGGTGGACCTTCTATAGAGTCACTCTGGAAGAACCTCCATAAGGACCTAGCAATGAGGGATGAAAGTGGGTGTTATTTGTCCCAGAAGCCTTCCCTTCACTCAGAATCAGAGGAGAAGAGGCTGAAATCCTTCCCAGGACAGCAGGGCAGTCAGAGTGATAGTCCAGAGTGCTTTTCTTGCATCTGGCACAGACTCAAAAGATGCTGCTGCTGCTAAGGAAGAATAACCAAATGCTCTATCTTCCCCCTTTAGAGATCACTTACAAGCAACTGACCTAATTTAAAAAAATATTCTTGGATAGGAAACATTTAGTAAAATAAGGCAAGCAAGCAAATTTCAAGGCTCCTGATTTCATCTAATAAGGTGCTGGATTACTCTGCAGCTATTTGCAACACTACCTGTGAGAGTCTAGCACTTAACAGGAAGTACAAACACAGAAAATCTTTCAAATACAGAATAAGAAAAAAATTCCAAGCATGTGCAAATTCTGTGAGAGGTGAACTCTGTCCTGTCACTGTTACATGTTGCAAGAAGTTATAGCACAGGCAACAAACACGCCTACATAGCAGAGAGCTGGGCTACAATCTCCCTTGTAGATCTCCCCCACAAAAAAGGATGCTTGTAGTGCAAATATCAACACCATCCATCTCTAAGACCCAGACGCTAGTAGAGTAAACCAAGTGCACCTTAGTCTCAAACAAAACAAAAATAATTAAAGGAAAGTAAAAGAAATGGTCATCCATCCTTCAAAGGTGTCAGAGCAGTCCAAGATACATATTTACTAACAATAATACATGATGAGGTTTGCTCTTTTAGTAGACACAGCTTCAAAAGACAGCATGCACGAGCATGGCTTTCAGCTAACATCAGAGAGAAACTCTCTCTCATACAATTTAATTTAATTTTCAATATTCCACAAAGCCAAAGAAAGTACTGCTAAACACTTAACTGTGCATTCAAGATGGTAGGAATCTAGAAAACAGCTACATGGCTCTTTACCAAAGAGAATCAGTATTGTTTCCATCATTTAGAAACACCATTGTCTATATTATCTTGTTCAGAAACCTTGAACAAGTCTAGTTGTCTACATTTGGGAACAACATGAGTATAAATCAGCCTTTCCTCTTATGGATATGTAAAACACAAAGCCCTGATCATTAAAGAGAGAGGCCAGTGCTGATTTCAGTGGGAATTACAGCCAGAACAGTTATTTGTATTACTATACTGTGCATTTCATCTCACATAAATGATATGCAAAGAAATTAATGGAGTTACAGTAGTCAGTGTATTTCCAGAGCTAGGTAATGAATAAAGTCATAAAGAGACAGCATTCAAAAGAGCCAGTGCCAGGAATCAGAGGGCGAAATAAAACAAGTGAAGGAGTCACAAAGAGAAAAATTACAGGAAGGGCTTTCAGACATAAAAAGGAAAATAAATATTTCAACACAGGAAAGACAGTTTTTATGGAGGAATAATATGGCAAACAATTTTAGACAGAAGTGTTTGTTTGGTCTTATAATAATTGAGCAGCACCTTCATCACAGAATGAGTTTATTCTCATTACTACCATGTCTCAAATGTTTTTGTCAGTTCAAATGCGTTCTTGGGACATGAGTTAAGAGGGTTATTTTGTTTACATCTTCCATGATAACTATGTTTTCCACTAAAGTCACTTATTACAACTGTTTTTATTCTTCCTGAAGTATCTGATTTTGACTTCCTATTTAGTTGATATTTTGCTACTAAGATGCACCAGTACCCATTCTCAGCATTTACCGACGTGTAAGAGACTGCTCATCTGGAGCCTGCAGTACCCGCAGTGGTGGTGGTGGGTCCAGGTCAGGGGGAGTTCTGCACAGCCCTGCAGCCAGGCACCAAGCACTTCCAACCCACTCCCAGGGAAGGAATGGCCAGAGGCAAAAAGGTACAGACTAAAACATGGCACAAATGAAAAAATAGCATCAACAGTAGACTGAATTTGATTTCAGTCAGAATGCTAAAAATGTGAATCATATCACTGCTTTGACCACTAAATCCCAGAAAAATTTTTAAAACTTTTCTTACCATAGCTGTTCAAAACTTTTATTGCTTGTGTTAAACACATAACTAAGAGTTTTAAAATATGCCTGTTAAAAAAAAATCCCCAAAACAAAGACCTGGTAATGTTTTAGGATCAGAAATTTTTAATCACAAAAGAAACCTAATCTTATTCCCCTCTTGCTAACCTTTCCTACACTTTTTATAGTCTATTCCCTTACCTTGCCCCCGCACCACACCCCTCTCCTCCCTGCTCCTGTTCACTCTCACAACCAATCTTATATTCCACATCCTCCTGTTGCCTCCCACTTTGGACACATATTCATGAATGCAAATAGCATCTTCCCAGCAAACAAGTAAATGGGGGAAGAGGAAGAGAAGAAGCAAAGGGAAATGTGAGAGCTCTTAAATAAATAATAATACTCGCACTCTTATGCACACCTTAATTTACAGATTCAAGTGCTTTGGGAAAGTAGGCATTGTTGACTCCTTTTTTATTCACAGACAGTTAAAAGCTATCTGTATTTCAAGAAATCCATTGTTTTCTTCCTACCCAATTTGTTAGCTCTTGGCTGACACTGGACATGGTGTTGCTGGTAGCAGGACAAGCAAGTATCATTACCAGCAGCCAGTTGAGCATGTTTACAAAGAAAAGAAGCTTCATCTCACCTTTCCAACCTGTACACTCCTTCTGCACCTGCGTTGTGCAGCCTGCTGGCCTCCACACATTGCCTACAGACCGGCTGCTCAGATTCCGTAGCTGTGCTTATTTGTCTTCTGCCCAAATGACTTCTGCCCTAAAGACAGATTTGAGAGTGACATAAAATGAGGATTGTTGACAAAATAAATAGTCTCCCACAAACATGCTACTCATTCAAAGGCCATATATATATGTGCTAATTCTCTATGGAAATGTACATTCCAAATAATATATTAAACACCTCAAACTCCAGGTGAAAAATCACAAATTATTTCATCAATGGCACCTTTCGTTACTTATTGTTGCAAAATGCTTGGCAGCATCTTCTGTCTGAGCCTGCATCCATGAAACAAATTTTGGGCAACTCTAGGTGAGTTATCTAAAGGTGATCTGTTGCTATAAAGTGAGAGAACAGATCTATCTTCTTTGAACTTACTTTCCACACAACCAATTGTCCAACACACTAGTTCTGTACAGATCATTAAACTATACCTGCAAAATTAACAGCAAAATCCAACCATCTGGTATTTAATAAATATCAAATACAATAACTGTCCTTAATGAATAGTTCATAAGCAATTACCTATGATTATCATCTAGTAAAAAAAGGTCCTCAATTGTGTCCAGAAAACAGCAACAAAGCCGGTGAAGGGCTGGAAGGAATGCCCTGTGAGGAGCCACTGAGCACTCTGGGCTTGTCTAGTTTGGACAAAAGACGGCTAAGGGGTGACTTTGTTGCTCTCTGCATCTTCCTGAGAAGAGGAAGTAGAGAGGGGGAGCTGATTTCTTCTCCCTGGGATCCAACAAAAGTACACATGGGAATGGTTCAAAGCTCCACCACAGAAGGTTTAGACTAGACGTTAGGAAGCATTTCTTTACCAAGAGTGCGGTCAAACCCTGGATCAGACTTCCTAGAGAGGTGGTCCATGCCCCAGAAATGTGAGTGTTTAAGAGGCGTTTGGACAATGCCCTTAACAACAATGCTATTCTATTCTGTACTGTTCTGTTCTATTCCATTCCGTTCCGTTCCATTCCTGCCAGGATAATCAGGAAAGAATTTCAAGTCAGGTGTGAGGACAGCCCTCTCCCGTGTGAGCGCTACAGTAATTTTCTTACTACATTAGGCAAAACGGTCTTGCTACATAGTTGTGAGATCTTGCAATTAGGAGTGTGCCAAACATCAGAAAAACTTTCTCCTTCTGTCACAGCAATTTCTCTCAGTGATGCCTGTGCCTCATAAAATGTTTTGATCCTATCTGCTGCCCCCTGTTAAAACTGAATCCTTTTAGAGGATTTAATTCTTGGAAACATGAGATGCAAGAACCATCCCCACCCTCCTTGCAGTATAAATTCAATATAAGTCCTCAACCTTAAGTCTCACATGAAGAAATGCAATGCTTTTTTTCTTTAAATATAATTCTATCCCCAGGATGTTCTATAGACTTCAGGTGCCTTTCTTGATGATGCATGCAATGAGTAACTCCACTAGAATAAGAAGACATATCTTCTTGTAACCTATTGAAAACTGAAATCTGCTATAGACACACAATTACAGTTCCTATTGACTCAGAAGAACTTACATGTGCATACGTAAGGCATCATACAGACCAAGGCATGCAGGTAGTAGCTACTTTTTAACTGTTTACAGTTCATCGTTTTATACAAGTATTTTTGGCTTTATAAGAGATAACTAAGGGAGTATGAAGACCAATATTTGCTTTTACAAAGGAAGACTGAAACACATGCAAGGTAAACCTGAAGAGGAACCCAAGACAGAAAACATTTCCTCACAGCCCTGTTGTGCAGGGTTTTCCTCGGCTGCTTCCCTTAAAGAACAGAAAGTGATGTGCTTTTACCACAGTTGTTTCTCTTCACAAGGAAAATCATAGAATCATAGAATGGCTTTAGTTGGAGGGGGCCTTAAAGATCATCTAGTTCCAGCCTCACTGCTATGGGCTGGGATGGAACTCACTAGATCAGGTTGCTCAAAGCCCCATCCAACCTGGCCTTGAACACTGCCATGGATGGGCCATCCACAGCTTCTCTGGGCAACCTGTTCCATCCTTACCACTTTCCCAGCAAGAATTTCTTCTAAATTCTAATCTAAACCTGCCCTCTTTCACTTTGAAATCATTGCCTCATGTTGTGGCACCCCGCCTTTATAAAAAAATCCCTCTCCCCCTTTTTATAAGTCCCCTTAAGATCCTGAAATCTGAAACAGCTTTTCATACTGGGTACACAAAGCAGACCGCAAAGGTATTGAAAAAATATCCAAACCTTTGGGCTCAATGATGACAGAAAGATGCCAGCAGAAAGTCACAATAAAATATTCTCTGTCCTGTTCTTAAGCTGAATTAGTGAAACAGGAATTTGAACATTTTTTGGAAATACAGAGGTATACTTCACAGATTTCTGACTCCATCATTAACTAATTTTCCTAAAGGAAATAGATCTAAACTTTGGCTGGTTGCTCAAGCCCAAAGAGGCAATACTATAGCAGAGACCATCTGCTTGCTGCAAAAAGTGGATGTTGCTAACTTTTAAAAGCATTATCAACAATTCCTCTGAACAGGAAAACATAATTTTATTACTATAAAAAAGATCAATTGATAAACTCTGGCATAATATGACCAAATTAAACTATTGTTTTTAAGTCTTGCTAAGTATCTCTCTCATATTGCTGGAACACAGTCTTAATAATCAGTTAATGCATTTTAATTAAAATTGCTACACTATCAGTAAAAATGACACTATCACAAACCTACAGCTTCCCTTACTTTAAAATTGTTTCTTTGTTTAAGTAACAAGCATAAATTAGTTCAGCAAGAAGACAAGAATTGGTTCTTAATTGTACTGGAAGGACACTTTCTTTTAAAACCTGAAGGTAAGAAGTGTCATTTTGCATATATTAAGATTTAAAGAGGTGTCTCTGTTACAGCTGCTGCGTAACTCAAGACTCTCAGAGTTGTAAAACTGTAACAGTATGCTAATTTCTATAAATTATATATAGCCCATTTACAATTCGTTACGTTCTGTTCTTGATCCCCACATCATGCTTGGATTGGTCTGCTATTTATTTATCAGCTCTGTCTCCACAGGCCTCATAAATTGTTACTGGTTGCAGGAAATAAGATTTGACTTACCAGCCCTCTCCCCTGTCAGTCACAGCAAGGGTTTGCACGTGTCACATGTCACAGAGCACTTTGTTTCATTATTATGTGAGTTTCAAAAAAGTCCATGGAAGTTATTTATTGGAAAAATGCAGTTGAATGCAATAAAAGAGGAATGAAATACAGAGCTTGTGATATTCAGAGATAGTCAGAGCAGACATTTCAGAATAATTCTTATGTGTGACTTTTCCACAGGTTGAAGTCCTTGATCAGATTTGATTGTCCTCTGCTTGCGGCTGTTCTTTTAACTGAAACTTAGCATCACAAATAACAATCAGGATTTTTTTCAGACCAGGTGCACTAAGAACAACAGGGACCACTGTGTGTGGGATGAAAGCCTGTCTGAGGCACTCACTGCGAACTGCAGCCTGCCAAGACAAGCAGTAAGGAGGATGTGGACAGGACAGAGCTGCCCACCTGTGCTCGGGGACCTGGACATGTCCCAGCTCCTGCAAGGATGCTAAACGTGCACAGGACAGGTACACCAAGTCCTGGCAACAACTGAGCATCAGTTTCTAGATGTGGTGCCTTGGGAGCACATGCCTATTTCTCATGAATGAATAAATAGTGTCACAAAGTACAAGCCCTGGAAAATGGGTAAATGGGAACACAGCAAACTGACAAGGTTTCCAGTAGAGTTTACACTATGATTGCATACACCAAACAAGTGCGCAAGGCTCAATCCAGCTCCCTCCCCTTTTACTCATACAACTAGTCCACAAACCATCACAGAAAATGTTAGCATGAGGAAGCAGAAATAGCTTGTACAACCCCTTTATTTGTAAAATCAAACATGCTATTGTGCCTTCTACTGACTGACTTACTGATATTTCCTCTGGAAAGTCACTGACTCTTGTTCTTAGTCCCACCATTTCCAAAAGGTGTAGTATTTACTATGTGGTGGATTCAACTGCTGGTCTTGCATTTTGAAAATTAGAGCAGACCATAAATGGTATTAAAGCAAAATCAGCATGATCTGTTCAGAAGGCATATAGAACAGTTCCCAGAACCTTTAGAGTAATCCGTAAACAAAATACATAAGGCTTATTATGCCTGATAATAGTATAATAATATCTGATGTTTGCATAGTGTGTTTCATGTTAAAGGGAATTAATCTGTTGCAGCATATTGAAGATGTAAGATTAAGAGAGAGAGAAATAGTTAAGAGCAATTCCTTATGAAGGACAAGTTAATATAGCCTGGGATAGATACCACAGCATACATGAGATACGGACACATCTCTAGTCTGCAATCTTCATTTTAAACTTTCCTCTTTCAGGTGGTCCTGAGCTTAAAATTGTTCTGTGAAGGGGAGGACATGGAGATGCCCAATTTCAACAACCATTTTTGAAAACCTTCTCTCCTTGAAATACTTTCCTATAAGAAGCGGTTCAGTGGCAGTTTTATCCAGGCCAGTAAGCACAGGAACATTGAGTTGGCTAATTTGAAAAAGCAAAAAACTTCCTGCTGAATTCTTCAAAATGCGTCATCTTTCAGTCAAGAAGCAGCATCATACGACCTCTACCAGGGGAGCAGCTTCCTCTGACTCCCAGTGGCCCCTTGGTCACCAGGTCAGGCTACCTGTAGCACCCCATCTTCTGCTGCCACCATTCAAAACAATATTTGGACTTATACAAGCTTCAAGGAAACAGTGGAAACCTTCCTGCCCTCGCCACAGCTCTTGTGGGACACTTTGCTTTGAGCTGGATCCCCCAGGTCACCATCAGTGCAAAGCATTCCCCCACCAAACCCCTTCCTCCTCTTTCTGCCCATGCTGCATCTGCTCCCAGGGCATCCTGAGCAGCCTGCAGCTCTCTGGCACTACCAGGAGAGGGGAATTCGCTGCAGGTGGGAGCAGCCATGAGGCTCACACCGCTTCAGGTGCCGCGGGCGGCTGCTGCCCCTTGGGATGCAGGAACAACCCAATACATCAGCGTTCCAGCCATCCCAGCATAAAAGTGCCAGCGCTCGCAAAGGGGACTACCCTCCGGGAACAAACTGGAGTTCACAGCTCGGCAATGAGGAAGAGCTGGCAGGGCTGGGGAATGGCACAGCAGGGGCACTAACCCCATAAATCGCACATCTGACAGCTAGGCTGCGGTTTGCAATGACAGGTATGCAGAGGGAGGGAAGGGGAACAAGGCTGAAGTGCTCTCTGCTGTTAATGTAGGAGCCGGTCTTCACCCTCAGCCGCTAACAAATCCAGCTGTGCTGTAATAGGCAGAAACACGCACCAGCTCTGATGAACAGGGTGAGATGTGGAGATCTCATCCTCTCCTCAGAGTTTACAGCTGGCCAGAAGGAATGAAAGTTCACAGGCCTGGAGGTTCAGAGTGTAACTTGCTGATGCTTTGTCTAGTCCATAGATCCTGGTGATACAGTAAAACTATTCACAGATAAGAAAATGCATAGTTTTTTTGTGGGCTTTGGTTTGCAGGAATTGCAAGATATGTTTTGTGAGATAACCTCCATCTTATCTTTATTTTTTCTGTTCTGAATTAGGGCAGGCTGGATGCTAAGGCCATTTCTGCCACAGTGTTAACTCCAGCAGGCAGAACAAGCTTCAATAAAGGAATTTTAGCCTTGGCCTGAGATTCAAGGAGTTAAAATGTGGCATTAGAGCTACAACGAGTTTCTAGCATTGGAAGATGGCTCCTTCCACACTACAGAAGAGCAGGGAGCCACAATTGGCTAGATAAGGTATTCTCCCTAGACTTACTTCTCTGGCTAAAACAAACAATGATTGACTGCTAATATTCTTACCATCCACCCAT